GGAGAAACGGAAAAAAATGCATCTATGAGCACAAAAAAGACCTCACACAAAAAGCATAACTAATGCATTAGTCATGCATAGAAATAAATTTAACCACAATTTTGATGTTAAAATTACTACACTGATAATAAAAGAAAATAACTTACTCAGAAGGAAAATCCTCGAGAGTGCCGCCATTGAATATTACCCAAATATTAATGTAGGCCCAGGTTTTTCACATATCACCTTTCCTTACTACTCTCCCATGCCAACATACAAAACAACTATATCAAGACATCAAAAGAAAATGGTTGAATCCGTCAACAATAAAAACAATATTTCCACACGTGACAGTACTTGACGTAATTTTCAGTCGACAATGTGAATACAATAGCGTTTTCTAATTTCTTCCAGTTGCTAAGGACATTTTGTTTGTTAATAGCTACTTTGTTTACAATGAATTCATTTCGTTTTTGCCTTCAAAATGTCCACATTGAACGAAACGCGTCGGCTAATAATACAGTTCTCCTATCGTCTTTTACCATTAAAATTAAATTTTTTCATAGATATATATATATATATATATATATATATATATATATATATATATATATATTCTTACATGTTATTCTTTTCATAAGGTGTTTTTGACTGACTAATGATATATATATATATATATATATATTTGGTTGGATAGATGTGAGTTTGTGACCCTGGGTTTCACGCTTTTAGCGATCGTCAGACAAACTGATTACTGTTTTAAAAATTTGGGTTTATGTAGATTGCGTGTATTGGTGTTATTGTGGAAGTGGTGGGGAGATTTCGTCGTTTTGTCATTCATCGTACTAACGCAAACATCGATGTATGCAGACACATATACATATACATACTTGGTCGTCCGTCGGGACTCATACATATATATAAACATATGTAGACAGTTTCGGCTATGACACATGTATGTATACGGGTGGTGTTATGTCTATACATACGCATTTGTATGTTGAAATGTTGAAATTTAAACATTGGAAGTGTGGCGGAAATGTCTCGTTATTGTCTCGTGAATGTATCCATGTCATATTATGAAATTTTTTTTTTTTTTTTTTTTTCCGTTGAAAAATATTTTCTCGCATGTATGTATATATGTGTGGTGGGGTTTGTGTAAAATTATGATAGGTAAAAATTATTATTAAATTATTTATATTTATTTTTAAATTTTTGAAAAAAATGCGGGTTTATTTGTTATATTTAAAGCTGGTTATTTGTTTGTTTTGGTGACTGTGTATATGTAACAGGTAGAAAATTGTAATCCTTATTGTTTAATTTATATGGTGATGTTTAATTTAATAACGGGTTTATATGATATGATGTGATAGTAATGTTTCAAAGGATTGGAGACAATGCTATTTAGGTTTTAGCTAATAGTTATTGTAAACTGGAAGAAATTGCAGATTGGTAGAAATAATTAGTAACGGTGGTGGGAGAATGATAAAACCATGAATGTAGTTATAGTGGTGGTAGCTTGAACTAAAAGTGGTTGTTGGTGTTTTATTTTGTTTTATTTTGTTATATGTATTAATTTATTTTGGTATAAATCCTGATAATAGGCATTATATGTAAAATTATGGTAGTTGAAGATTGCTATAATTTTTAATTACAAAATTATTATTATTATATTAAAGCTGCCTGGTAATAGGTGTTTGTTCTCATGGTTACATATGGAAATTATATCTGATCATATTGTTTTAAAGTATTAAATATGCTGGGGGGGTAATAAAGATTGTAGTGGATAATAATAATAATTTTGTAATTAAAAATTATAGCAATCTTCAACTACCATAATTTTACATAGAATACCTATTATCAGGATTTATACCAAAATAAATTAATACATACAACAAAATAAAACAAAAATAAAACACCAACAACCACTTTTTAGTTCAAGCTACCACCACTATAACTACATTCATGGTTTTATCATTCTCCCACCACCGTTACTAATCATTTCTACCAATCTGCAATTTCTTCCAGTTTACAATAACTATTAGCTAAAACCTAAATAGCATTGTCTCCAATCCTTTGAAACATTACTATCACATCATATCATATAAACCTGTTATTAAATTAAACATCACCATATAAATTAAACAATAAGGATTACAATTTTCTACCTGTTACATATACACAGTCACCAAAAAACAAACAAATAACCAGCTTTAAATATAACAAATAAAACCCCTGTTTTTTCAAAAAATTTAAAAATAAATATAAATAATTTAATAATAATTTTTACCTATCATAATTTTACACAAACCCCACCACACATATATACATACATGCGAGAAAATATTTTTCAACGAAAAAAAAAAAAAAAATTTCATAATATGACATGGATACATTCACGAGACAATAACGAGACATTTCCGCCACACTTCCAATGTTTAAATTTCAACATTTCAACATACAAATGCGTATGTATAGACATAACATCACCAGTATACATACATGTGTCATAGCCGAAACT